GTTGTAGTGTGTATATTATTTACTACACACACACACACACACATTCTCTCTCTCTCTCTCTCTCTCTCTCTCTCTTTTCACTATAAGATTTTCCTGTAGTTAATTTTTTGCACTTTAACATTTTTCTTTCCTCTGAGGAAGGCTGCAGAGTTGTTACAATGCTATGGATGCAGGTGTTAAAAGTCAGGAATAATTGGAGAGCATGATACAAGCCTCAGCAAAATATACTGTATTTCCCCCCCAGAAATATCCTTTAAAGCTTTTGTTATAGAAGAAATAAGTGTTGGTTTCTATTTTAGATCTGCAAAAGTCTGATTCTAAAACAAAAGCTGGAGTGTATTTTAAAATGAATACGTTTTGCACAATAACAGGTTTCAGAGTAGCAGCCGTGTTAGTCTGTATCCGCAAAAAGAACAGGAGTACTAGTGGCACCTTAGAGACTAACTAAATTTGTTAGTCTCTAAGGTGCCACAAGTACTCCTGTTCTTTTTGCACAATAGTATTTTGGACTTAATTCACAAATTTCCAATCAGCTGCCTTTTTAACTTTGTGCATTTATGTTGAGTCCAATCATGGGCCTAATATGTGATGTATGGGTATTGCATACCATATAGACAAAAATTCACCATGCTGCACTTGTAGTAGAGCATTTACCTGGCCAGATCCCAGTATGGCTCAGATTTTGGAACTGGTATTTTGGGCCCTAATCCTGCAAAGAAATCTGTATAGGCAGGTGCTTGTGCCTGTGCAAAGTTTCATTGACTTCAGTGGGACTCTGTAATCATAAGGGTCCACGTTGGCAGATTCCTATGCAGCATCTGTGTATTTAGTGATTTTATTAATCATATTTTGTTTATCAAAAATTTAAATCATTTCTAGTTATAGGTGCTGCAGACATAGCAATGCGCTCTTGAAAGAACCGGGACCAATGGAGCAGAACCTCCATCAAAACTCCTATTGATTCCACATGTAGAGGGTTTGCAGGATTAGAGTCTTTGTTTAAAAACAGGTTTCAGAGTAGCAGCCGTGTTAGTCTGTATCCGCAAAAAGAACAGGAGTACTTGTGGCACCTTAGAGACTAACAAATTTATTACAGCATAAGCTTTCATGGACTACAGCCCACTTTGTGCATCCGAAGAATGGGGCTCGAGT